AATTCAACAGATACTGTTCAGTACTAGCACAAAATGCACTTGGCCTGAAAAGGGCTGGTAAAACTGTGATAGATCACATTTTTGTTCTTGGTTTATCCTTTAACAACATACAAATTTTAGTATAATTCTAAAGTATATATAATGTGTAATCTTTACTTATACCATGATTTATAAGCCTCCACGCACATTCCGGCTTGGCTATAATTAAAATGGTTTGTAAGATTAGGAATGATGTACACATACTCTAGACCTACCTGTATCCCAAGTAATTCCACTATAGGGTTTAAAGCAGTGCACTCATGTCATGGAGCATCCTGTTGTACCTATGATGCTATTCAAATGTACAAGACTTTTTTTGTGTGGGAAAGGCTTCTAAAAGCGAAGGAAAGGGAGGTAGACATGTTTGCCTACAGTTCACTACAGCTGTCTGAGAAGAAGAACGTTTGCTACTTGATGGAAATGCAACAGCATGTACTGATTGTATTACTGACTGCAATATGTCTTTTGATCTGTAGATGGCAGTGTAGTGCAATGTTAGTGTCTCTACATGCATGCTTATCTATGATACACAGGACGTTTTCCCATCTAAACGTTTCCCTCATAATGCTGTATTCTGATATAATGTTCTTCTAAGAAAGTCAAACTTAAATTCAGCATTCCTCAAGATCTCAGTGCTTCATATAAAACACATAACCAACAGGTTATGGGCACAGGCACTAAACAGAACACTGCAAGTCAACAAGACCCGCAATCAAGCTACTGAAAGATGGCAAGCTGTTCAGATATGAAGTTTGTAATTGCAAAACTCAACAATACCAACTATCAGCTATGCAAGATTAAGCCTGAGATGCTAAGCAAAAAGACAAATTGTGGCAAGTACTGAGTACATACAGACCTAGTAATGGACACGCGGAGAAATGGCACAATAAGAACAGGCAAGCAAAAAACTTAATTTTAACTACATCTGCACTTAAAGTTTTCTCTTAGTCCCTCAGCAAAGTACCACGAATACCTGCTGATCCTGTCCACTCAATGCAGATTTTTGTGATGGTGTAGTAATGATTCTGCACTGCTCCTAGATCAGAGAAGGGTTGACACTCGTATGCAGACTGAGGCTGCTTGCACTACAGTAGAATAGAAATCTGTTATGGGAGGCTATCAGCATTGTTGCTGGTCAATCACCACCTAGCTATAACTTGCCCATTGCTTTCTAGATTGACAGCTTTGCCTCTGTTGCTGAAACCTGCCCACTGTGAACTGCAGAATCTGGGAGGGGGGAGAGTGTGAGACACAAATAAAAGGAGAATTTGGCACACTCAGGGGAGGTAAAGGAAGTTTTTTCTGTCCACTTTATAAGGCTTGTGCATCAGATATTAAATGGGTTTGGGACTTGTTTAGACTGTCATACCGGATCCTTTAATTGTACTTTAAAATAAAAATGAAAGTACTGAACGAAATTGAAATTTTCACATTTATACAAAACATTATTTTCCTGCGGTTATTTTTTTTATTATTATGCAAACATGAAAGTAGAAGAGCAAAAATAAAATTGCTTTATTAAATGCAAGCCTAATATCTTGCAGATAAAATATTTGTAGGTGCTACAGTCAATCAAGATATCAGAGGAAACTACAGATGAAAGCATCCAGGCATAAAAGGCAAGCGTGATAATTATGATTTGCAGACAAGATAATGGAAAATATTCCTGCCTTTGTCTGGGTTTTATGTATTGAGCGCAGGCTTGACCTGGACAACTGGCGATGCCTCATCACATTTTACACCGTCAACAAAATTAATTGAATGGTCATTGTTTTATCACTGTAATTACTTAAAAATAATTTAATTATTTCTGCAAGCATCTGCTAAAATCCAGAATGAATGCACCTTAGATAATATGTTTCAGGTTTTTTTTTTTTTTTTTAATCTGCACACTTCACAATATTACAGTTTATAAAAAAAACAACAAAGTAATGCTTATAATAGAACTCTGGTGATATCAAAAAAGCATTGTTGCAGTTGAAATTAATATATTTTGAGCCAATTAAAATTCTAACCTCTGTTCCATGTAATGGAAGTGTCACTAATTTGCAGCTAAGTACCTGCCACTTTCTAAAAGGATGTACCTCTGCCCACCTCCTTTACTGCATCATGCAGGTCAAAAGCACAGCTTGCACACAGCAAAGCACTGAATACTTGCTTTACTATTGTGACAGTAGAGCTTGTACTCCTGTTTCAATCAAATGGCCCACACATGCTCTAGAGAAGTAGTGGCCACCAACTGGAATACATGTTCCAAAAGTTTCCTAACTGTTAGCCCAGGTCCTCATGGTTGCAATGCTTCTGGCCTGCACACTTTCTTCTTCAAGTCTCTGCTATTTTTAATTAAATTAGTTGTGGCAATAAAAGTCTGTGGGGCCACTATTTGCAGTAGCTTAATCCATTTAAAAAATAGCAGGGACTGGAAAACGCAGGTCCACTGAGCCAAAGCCACCACTGTGCCCCAGTCACAGTCTTCAGAGAACTGTGTCTCCTAATGAATGGCACGGAGGTTAGTCTACTTAACACAATACACTTACCTCATGCTGCACTTTCCAAAGGTAATTCATAGGTAGAAAGACCAGGATCACAACAGCCATTTATCATGCAACTTTAACCCCTTCATGACTGAGGCCTTTTTTTCATTTTTTGCACCCATGTTAGATTCCACATTTTAGGGCTGAAAATTACTTAAAACCCCCACACATTATATATTTTCTGAATGCCAAGACCCTATACAATGGTAATAATGGTGGTAGTTGCACATTTTTATGTTGCGCAATATTAGCCCCAACCCCAAAATTTAGTGATAAATTTAATTAAATGCCCCAAAACACAACAAAATACCAATTTTTTAAATGAAATATAACAGATGAGGTTACAACGAGTAAAACCATACCCAACATGCTCAGTTTACAAATTGCGTGCGTCCGTGAAACGGCGAAAAACTGCAGTACCCCAAAAAGTCCACAGAAGACGCTTTAAAAGCCCCCACAGGTCATCAATTTAGAAATACCCCAAAATACTGGCCCTAGGATTATTGCTCTCACTCCGGCGTGCGCGGCGATACCCAACATGTGTAGCGCGTTCGTCGTTTTCATACGTAGGTGGACCCGACGCGTGTTTACGTGGCGACGCGCGTGCTCGTGAAGCGGGGTACTTTTAAAATTCTTTTATTATTATTAGATTTATTTTATTTGATAATTTTAAAAAACAGTTTTTTTGTTTTTTTTTACTTTACTTTGACTGCTATCACATGGGGGGGCTTACAAGCCCCCCCATGTGATAGCAGATGGTGGTGACAGGTACTCTTTAAG